TTCAAAATTATAAACAAGGCCAACAATTTGTAATAGGATTTATATTGATGTGAAAATTGAATTGCTGTACTTACTGCTAAATTGTTTATAGTTAGCAGAATAGGAGAAAACAACATCAAGTAATCTAATACCAAACTTCCCCAAAAATTAAAAAAAATCACAATATTCCCAAAAATTCACGAAAAAATGACAAAAATTTGAAATTTCCTGCCCCTATATTTGTTCAGATACAGAAATGCATGGAGGTTGTTTGGAGATATAAATTTGGAATATTATTTTGTTGATTGGTTTATATTTATTGCAAAAGCAGAAAAGTGCTAAATATTATTACATTGAACATATAAATATCCTCGGGCTCTATAAATAAATTTGGTCTCATTTCCTGGCTTTTGTATACAATTTTTGCGAAAAATATAATTGCTCATGTTGCGAATTCAATGTAATTCGAAGAATAGATGATGTAATAATGGGATAGGACTTTAAAAATTAATTACAAATGATTGCACAACCTTCAAAAATAGACGAATGAAATAGAAAATTGGTTTTAAAAATTTAAGTTTATAATTTAGGTTTAAAACATTAGACTCAATGATGAAAAATCAATTTCTTCATAGAGCAAATTGAATATTGCCAAAAGCCAACTATTGTAAATAAATCAACTCTCAATGAATAAAATAAACTGGATAAAATTAATACCAGCTTTTGTAATAATTTTGACATAATTTCCATTTTTTCTATAACCTAATTCCAGGTACTATTTTTGGATCAATTTAGTAATTACCAACCTTGGCCTGTAGTTGTACCATATATAAAGTAATTGGTAGAAAGTCTTTTTACTGCGGCAGTAATTACTAGAAAGTAACAACGGCATATAATAGGAGAAAGAGACAATTTAAATTAGACGCTTTTTTTGTTGACATATTTTTTTTCAAAGATTTCGATTTACCTTGCTCTAGACCTTGCCGGAGGAAGTTGGAAATTAATTTATGAAAAAATACTAACGAATGATTAATAATTATTTTAACATACTTGTTTATTTATCTAAAATAATTTTGTATGGTTATTAGTATAATATTGATTGAGCTTTGATTTATTCTGCAATCGTTCAATATAAATCAATTCAAGAAATCTTTCGCAATCTATTCTCTATTTTAATGCTCTGTTCGAAAATTGAAATAGAGTCATAAATTTGCCAATTGTGCAATTTGTTGACGGTTGACAATAATTGATCGATGGTGTCTTCGAACTTTCTCTAATGACAATATGTATGAAACAAATCGAAATGAATAAATGTAGTATATATTACTAGCTTCCCAAATGAGAAGTTTATGTTTTCATAAAAAAATCCGATTCGCTAATTTTATGTTTTCTCGATGTTTCAAGCCATTCTGAAACCAAATTTGAAAATAAAAAATTCGACGATTTTTATGATTTGTTTTGTCAGTAGATACCATAGTCTTCTAGATCATACTAAAATATCACAGCCCTACGACAACTCGTTTAGCTTTAAAAATTCGTCAAAGTTTGCAAAAATTAATATAGTTTTTTTAGCATTTGTCAAAATTAGACCTATTATCGACGTTTGATCAAAAACGCCTGAATCGATTTCAGAAATTTAAAAGCCATTTAATGTATCTAGATGAGGACTATCGTTTCTCAGTTTTGTGCAACGATATGCCAAGCCGTTTCTTTGTAATTTAAACTTTTCGTCCACATTTAAACTCATACTACCAAATCGATTTAAGTGGGAATGATACTGATTAGTTTTAAGTGAAAATCTACCGAGTCGTTTTCTTGTAATTAACTGTTGAAAAAAAAACTCAAAATTTTCTTTAAACATTGACAACTGTCTATCCACAATTTTGTTTTCCTAAAATTTACAACATAAATTCTAACATTTCGAATATGAACTAAAATTTTTAATATTGCTTATAACCTAAAGCTGAATATAAATACATGAGGTGAGGCAACAAAATTTAAAATCGGTTCAGTAGTTTAAGAGTTCATTGGGGACATACATCGTAATAAAGTTAGAGTAAAATCACAAGCTATTTGGTCTGGAAACACTTTCAGCATATTAAAGTCTGATAGCAATGTCTATTATTCAGATTATTCTCATCTCATCTGTAGTTTGTTTGTCATTTGGCCAATTATATACATATATATATATATATATATATATATATTATGATAGAATGACAATCGTGCATTTGGCCCAGATTCAAATTGTTCTCTAATAGAACACAGATGATAATGCTTTTATTGTCAGAGGACCATTCAAGCGAAAATCCTCCTCAAAATGCGATAAACCGTGAAAATACAAACAAATGTGGATCTAAATAGTTAATTTGTGTGGAATGAACTTAATTTTTTAACTAGTTGGTATTGGTATTTTGCCTTGAGGCAAGTTACATGGATTTTCCGATAAGTGTAAATAATTGACTTAATCAATAAAAAATAAATTAATTTATGAGTGGATTTATTACACATAATTGAAAACGAACGAACACGTTAACTCGGAGTATTTTCTAGAAGCAACTTTTAAAAAATCAGCAATGTTTATATTTGAACCAGTTTCCGTAGAACTTTAATGTTTTAGTATGTTCTTTAAGACCAAGTACTCTATCGTTATACCAAGTAAATCGTCTAATTGTAATTTTAACAAACGTCAAAAAAACTACTCATTTTCTCAAACTTTGATGAATTTTCGAAATTAAACTACTTGTATAAACGGCCGTAATATTTCAGTAAGTTCTATAAGACCATGATATATATCGCCAAAAAAGTTACATAGAAATCGGCTTAAATTGTTTTTTCAACAGTTAGTTACAAGAAAACGGCTCGGTAGATTTTCACCTAAAACTAATCAGTATCATTCCCAACTAATATCTATCGAACAGTTTTTGATTTTTTAAAATCGATTCGGTAGTTTGAGCTTAAATGTGGATGAAAAGTTTAACACTTTTTTTCAAATTACAAAGAAACGGCTCGGCCGATCGTCACACAAAACTGACAAACGATAGTCCTCATTGAGATACATCAAATGGCTTTTAAATTTTTGAAATCGGTTAAGGCGTTTTTGAGAAAACGTCGATAATAGGTCTAATTTTGCTAAATGCCAAAAAAAAAACGATATTAATTTTTGCATACCTTGAAAATTTTTCAAAATTAAACGACTTGTCGTAGGGCCGTAATATTTAAGTATGATCTACAAGACTATGGTATCTGTCGACAGTAAAAAATCATAAAAAGCGTCGATTTTTTTTACTTTATTACAAGAAAACTATCTCTACCAAAAACTAACCATGCCGATTCCCAACCAATATCTATCGAATGGTTTTTGAATTTTCAGAATCGATTCAGAATTGCGGACTAAATCGTGGACGAACAATTTTTCACTTTTCTGCGATTTACAGAGAAACGGCCCGGCCGATCCTCGCACAAAACTCAGAAACGCTAGTCCTTATCGAGATACATGGAATGTCTTTTAAATTTTTGAAATCGGTCGAGCCATTTTGGAGAAAACGTCGATTTACGGCAAAAAATCTGTTCACACACACACACACACATACACACAAATGTATACTTTTTCCAAATTTGATATCATTCGATTCAGAATAGTTTGAAACGTCGAGAAAACAAAACTAGCGAGTCGGATTTTTTGATAAAAACATAAACTTCTTCTTCGCGAAGTTAAAAATAAAATCTTAGTTGATCAATCAGATCAATTAATCCTAATTAAATTCTGATTCAAATTAGTCCAGTTATCAGAAATTTATTGCATCGAAACTAAATATTTCAGTCAAATCAAATAAAAAATCCATCCGAATCGTGAACAAGTTTTATATTGCAAAACTAGATTCATCATCTGAATTAGTCTTCAGAAATTAATTTTATCAAAACCAGATTGAAGAAAAATCCAATCCAATGACCTCTGCCAACAAATTTTGAAGACAGGTGATACAAAATATTTCCTGCTAAATATATTCAATAAATTTTGAAGTCAGTAAAAACAATTTATAGAAAAATTGAAACCTTTCTTGATCCATTCAAAATAGAGAGATTAAATTTATCAAAGTCAAATTTGGCAAAACAAATTTCCCAAATAACCTCTGAACTCGTCCATTAAATTTTGAAGTCAGCCAGAACAATTTATAAAAATCGAGATAAATTTTCTGAATGCAAAACTAAATGCATCATTCATACAAAGCTGTATTCATATTTATAAAAATCAATTTTGGAAAATAAAATCTTAGTTGACCAATCAGATCAAATAATCCTAACAAAATTCAGGATCCAAATCAGTAATCAGAAATTTATTGCATCAAAACCAAATATTTCAGTCAAATCAAATAAAAATCAATCCAAATCGTGAACTGTTTCTTTTTTTTTCTTTATTATACCAAAATTATAATATAATTTAGTACACTAATAAAAAGTGAACCACTGGGTTTTCGTTTTGAAATTTAATATGTTATTTGTCAAACTAATTACTCAATGTCTTTTTATTTAGACAGATTGTTATTTATAAGAAAAAAAAACGTGAACGTGAAAAGTCTATATTGCATAACTCGATGCATCATCTAAATAAGTCTTCAGAAATCAGATCAATCATCTTTTCTAATAAATTTTGGAGTCAAAATTTTAAAATATTTCTCAACCCAGAAACTAGACGCAAAAGTGCTAAATATACTCAATAATGATACGTAATAATTTTAGAAAAAAAAAATCACCAACCTCTTAAGTCCTGGTTTCCCCTGTCCCTGCAGCAACTTCTTCCCAGCATTATGAGCCAGTGGCGTACTGGTGTCACTAGCCGAAGGGCTGGTTGCAGGGCCCCCTGCAGCACTACCAGACTCCTCATCACCAGTACTGACACCACTATCATTGAAATACTTATTCGACATCGAATTATCGTTATTCGACATATTTATCTTCTGAAAATCAGTAGCGTTCGTTGGAATCCTTTGTTTGGTCGATTCGTTAAGATAATTGTCGATTTATTTCGTTTTTGGTTGACAGAGCCGGTTGGTTTTATGACACCAGAAATTTGCATGTAGGGCGATTTTTTCTGATGTGTTATTATTGTTTGTGGAAAATTGTTGGTGGATTGGATATGCTTGGGTCTTGGTGTAAGTTGTTTTCTCGAAAGGTACCTGGAAAATATTTAATTTTAGATGATGTCTGGATATTACCAATTAGTGCCAGTAAACGGAGAGGAAAAAAGGTATAACCTCTGAGTTTTTTTTACTGTGCTCCAATTTGCATGAAATTTTGGAATTAGGTTCATCTTACCCTCAAGTTCAAAAGTGAAAACAATTCGAGTTCCGGCGCTTCTCAATTGTGTAATTACTTTTTTTCAAAATAACGTCGGAAATCGATAGAACTAATTATAAGCAAAAAATGTCTCTTATAGTTTTTCAAAAAAAAACTAATACTTTTCAAGTTACTGGCCACTAAAAATTAACATATTTTTAGCCTTTTTCTTCGTTTTTTGCAAATATCTCCTAAAATATACATTTTAACAAAAATCATATATGAACAAAATAATGTCAATAAAAATTTTAACTAGTGGTGTATGTCATCCCGTACCAAAAAAAATTTTTTTTTTAAAAGATTAACATTTTTGAAAAAAATTTACTCTGAAAAAATTCGATTTTTGAGAAACTATAAATTTTTAACATGAATTTAATTTTTTTTTTGAAAAAAAAAGACTTTTTGAAGGAAAATTTATTTTGAAATATTTTGTAAATTCTGAACTTTTTTTTCAAAAATATCGAAGCGCGTAAGCGCCGCGTCGCCGTCTAAAGGATAAACATTGGTACGGAACTCATAGGAATGTAAACAAAATTTATACTTATTGTTAAAAACTCTAAAAAATATCTGATAATTTGATGTGCATATGTTTAATGATCATTTTTGACCGCCAAATGGTATTTTTTTTACTTTTTTCACTAGATCTTCGAAACCGCTAGACTTGCCTGCATGAAAATGTGATCAGTTCTTCATCTTATTGTCAATACAAGTAAAATGTTTTTTGAATTATTCAAATCGGACGCTCCGTTCTCTTAAAAATTGAGTTAACGTTTTGCCCCATATCTTCGGAACGGCTAGACCTGCCTTTGCCAAAAACTAATCAGCTCGTCTCCTTATCAATACAAATCGTATAGTTTTTTGAATTATTCAAATCGCTTCATCCGTGTTGCCAAAATCGTTGACGAAAATTTGTATCCGAACACACACATATACACGCACACACCTACACGCACACACATACACACACATACATTCATTTTTTCTAACAATAAGGTATGCCAGAATGTTCAGAAGGTTTTGAAACGTAAAGATATATAAAAAAAATTATTTTCGATTTTTTTGCGATTACTATAACTTGCCCTACGGGAAGTAAAAAAACATTCGATCCCTGTTAATAGGGAGATGTGCTGATTAGTTTTTGGCAAAGACAGGCCCCGCCATTTCGAAGATACAAGGCTAAATGTGCAAAAAATGGCACTTTTTGAGTGAACTAAGCGTCCGATTTGAATGATCTAAAAAACTTTCTGCTTGTATTGACAAAACAATTTCTTTTGAGGATAAAAAATTCTTACATCATTTTTTTTTATTTTCCATAAAATATTTTTGTAATTTTGGATTAAAAATTCAAAAAAATACCTAGACTAAGCACAGTCTAAGCGCCCCTCTGGTACAAATGTTTACCCGAGTGCGTTTAGACTGTAACTATACGAGAGCACTTTTGCAATTTTGTGTAAATTTGGCAACTATTTGTTTTTAAATTGAATTCGAAATGAAATGACGATTGTTAATGTTCTGGAGATAAGTTGATTTATGATTTACATTTGATTTGCTCAGATATAACAAGATAGCAAAAATAATGAAAGTTACAGTATTTGCAATAGTATATTCGAAAACGTTTAACATTTCTCGAATATTTCATTACGGTACGGGAAGTTCCAGCAATTTGCCTCAACGCACGATGCCATACACCACTAGTTTAATAACTTCCCAAGAGAGTGGTGGCGGAACCCAAATTGTTTTCACTTTTGAACTTGAGGTTAAGATGAACCTAATTCCAAAATTTCATGCAAATTGGAGCACAGTAAAAAAAATGCAGAGACTATACCCTTTTTTCCTCTCCGGTTACTGCGCTACAATAGGGAATGCAATACCGATGGAAAATTTCAATACCGGTATTTCGGTAATTTTTTCATTTTAAAACCGGAATACCGGTAAATTACCGGTATTTTTATTATCTTAAAGAAACGTAAACACAATTGAAAGTTACTAGTACAAATATAAAAAATATATATACAATTACAACTATATTCAACTAAACAATAGAATAATACAATAAGATTATTTTTTTAAATAATAATTTAACAAAATTATATCCAATTTAATTAATTCATTATCACTATCGAGTATATTGAGTACTTTTCACCAAAAACAAACTTATGAGTAAGAAAGACAAAAAACTCATAAAAGATCATATTACATTATTATAATAAACTGTACTGTCTGTATCCGATGTGTTAAATCAGCATAATCCCCCAATATTTAAAAAAAATAATTTTTTTACACTAATTTAAGATCGGATACTTTGTCGAGATAAATAATAAGTTACTATAATTGTTGAGTATTGTTATTTAAAACAATGTAATGCTTCTATAGTATTTTCAAACTTCGAAACGTTGTCGGAAAATAATATTTTATAATTGTAATAAGGAGCAAAAATATTTACTAATTATCATAATTATTATGTATAAAGTTAGAAAAAAATAAAGATTACGCAGGGGTAATCTGTATGATATAAAATATTTTGGTGCAAATGTCACTTAAAAAAACGTTACATTTTTACATAAGATGAAACACACATCATTATCTATCAGTTCAATTCTATTTATTGTAACACGATATGAAGCCCTTTGGAAAGCAATAAATATTCAGTTTAATGACGAGTTGAGATAATATTTGACATTTGTTTATCTTATAGAATCACTTGAAGATATAGCTGTTTATGCGATTACGGAATTTAAAGATAAATTTGTTCCGAGAAATTTAAGCTTTGGGGTATTATGTATCAAATAGCGCTTATGTAAAAATACCGAAAGTACCGGTAGGTAAAAAAAAAGCGTCGAAAAATCGAGCGGTTTACCGGTAATTCGGTATATCGGTATACCGGTATTGCATTTCCTACACTACAATGAGTATATTACTACCTGTCCACTGTTAGTCTGTTTAATCATAGTCTTTTCCAGTCGATCTCTTAAAATTTGAGGGTTACTAAAAACCATCTCCTGGACATTTTGGTCTCTGGTGGCATCTAAAACTTGGCCAGTAACAGGATGCCTCAATTCCTTATATCTGGTTTCTGTGACTTCGACAGTTCTGATAATAGGGGTCATCTTAGGTGCAGAATTCTGGGCAGATTCCAAAGAATTTGTATCTAAGTCCAATTGCAATCGCGACTTCTGCTGATTTGATATCGTCTGGTGAACATGGTGAGGGGATGAAGACTTTCCTTCACCAGGGAGCATGTAGGATAACATGGTAAAAAAATGTTTTAAGGTGTAAAAGTCGAGGTTTGTCCTCGAAGGATTGTTGGTAAAGGTGAGTTGGACATGCGAATCACAGGTTGTTACAATTTTGACTAAGTGAGTTATGTTTTTGATCACAATTTGTTCACGATATCACACTAATGAAGCGCTGGTTTAATTTATTTTTTATGAATCACAAACACTTTTTATCACAAATGAATTTTGGACGTATTTTTGCCTTGCTTTTGACCCCTTTTAGAAATACTGGTTGCTGGTAATCTGAAATTAAAAATAATATAAATTAGTTATATTTTGGTATAATTTTTATGAAATAAAGAATATATAGATTAGAAAAATAAAAATATATAGATTATTTTATTTTAGGTTTCATGTTATTTTATAATTTATTTATCCAATTTAAATTTATATATCTTATATATAAAAATATAGCTCTCGATGAAATGATCCGCTAAAACTCGAAAACGGCTGAACCGATTTGGCCAGTCTTAGTCTTGAAAAATTTGTGCTAATCAGTAGGTTGTCGGAAATGTGAGATATTATTTCAAAATCGCGTAAAACTTTACATTTTTAATTTGAACATTTTTGCAGAATCGTATTTTGAATGAAACAGTGCACGGTGGCTAATACGTCAAATGTCACAAGTTTTTGATAGATGATGTTCAATTACGTTTAATAGGATGTTTTTCGTGAATATTATTTAATTATGATTAAATTGTAGTAGGTAGTTTTGTTCGTAGTTATATTTATACACAAAAACGTTATTAAACAGATCGCAAGTGTTACGAGAAACTCAAAATATCAACTTTTTTGTAAAGTTAATATGAAAATGCACTTTTTGGTGTTGTAGCTCTCTTTTTTGCAAATCATATTTTTCTCAAACACGTAGTTCTGAAAGATCTCATTTGTATAATTATATACTCATTGGTATTTATAAAAGATTTTCTAGGTTATATTATTTTTTATTTATGTTATTTAAATTCATAACCTAAATTTGATATCGATCGAAGGAACATTTTGTTGAATAACTTTTTCCCAGTTATAATTTCCCAGAATTTATCGAAAAATACATAGTAATATATGAAGGTCTGGGGTTAAAAAGGTTCACCACCTATGTGTTAAAAATTAGTAAAATTAAGAATTATTCAACAACAATATTTGAAAGTAGAGGAAAAAAGAGGTATAATCAGCTATACTCTTGATTCTCATGACTTTGCTATAGGGAGATAAACGGCATCTTTGAAAATGCATAATAAAAGTATTTTTTCCTTTGTTAGTTTTTTAGCATTAGTTAAAAATGTAATTATTTTGTAAAATACCTTTAAAATTAAAATGAGACTTTAAACTTTTAAATTTGCCACCTGGCCGTTCCAAGTTACCCCGTCTACGGGGTAAAAAGGTCTAGATAACATATTTTTGAAAGACATCAAAAAAGCATATTTCTACAATGATGAAGTAGCTGACCGTTTTACTGTACGTAGTCAGAAAATTGTTCGTTTGAAATGTTTTATTTGTTGTGATATAATTGGTTTGATTTTTATACCAAAAAAGACTTGAATGGATTATACTATGTTTTCTATAAAAAGTGTATAAATCTTCCAGTTTGATTGCATTGACAGAATATAGACAAACTAATGGGGTTTATTGATTTTATAATACCTCATTGTATATAGCATTCAAACAACACATCCTTATACACTAAAAGTATTAATATTTTTAATTCTCTACAAATTGTTTAGAATATACCTTACTTAGGAAAACAACGTTTGCCGGGTCGGCTAGTATAATATATATATATATATATATATATATATATATTTATATATATATATTCATATTTTTAGCACTAAATAAGTTCTGAATCTACTCCAAGATATACATTTAAAAGTGATCTTGAAACAATTTCAATGACGCAAATCTCCCAAAATCTCCATGGTGTGTCATTCGAGCAATGTTATAATATTTATTTTATAGACTCTCAGAATGTTTAATTAATTGGATTGTATACGAGAAAAAAAATTGTGCCGAAATTTCGTGTCCATCATCACAAAGGTCAATAAATGTGTAGGTTGGCTCGCGAATTATCGTTTCAAGAGCTTTTTTTTTCTATCAATCTTGACATTCTAAATGAAGGAATTTCAAGATCGTTGGATGTGAAATAGATTTTTTATAAACTCTTTGTTATTTTTGTTTCGAACACTTGATGATTGATAAAAATGTAGCTGTCAGAGATAATGGTAATAAAAAATACAGTCAAGTGTCAAACACATATTTGGAATTGAACAATGCTAAACGTTCTTGATACAATTTTTTGTCATTTTTTATCAATTATATTACCTAATTTTAAAATTAGGTGAAATTATTTGCCATTTAAAATTTTGACTTGCCTTTTAGTTTCAATTTTAGCTACTATTCAAATCAAATCTTATAAGGAATCATATTTTCGGACATCTCCTGAGTCAGGATACTTGGAGAAATATTAACAAACGAGTTGGTATTAGAATTTTGCCTTAAGGCAGGTTGCAAAAACTATCCGATAGATGTAATAGATAATTGACTTAATTATTCAAAACTCATCACATCACAAAAGCGACTTTTACACAAATTTTGATATCATATTTCTCCAAACTTTGATGAATTTTTAACTTCCCGAAAGAGAAGTTTATGTTTTCATCAAAAATTTCGATTCGTTAATTTTAAGTTTTCTCGACGTTTCAAGCCATTCTGAATCGAATGACACCCAATTTGCAAAAAGTATGTGTGTGTATGTGTATGTGAACAGATGTTTTGCCGTAAATCGACGTTTTCTCAAAAACGACTGGACCGATTCCAAAAATTTGAAGGCCATTCGATGTATCTCGATGAAGACTAGCGTTTACCAATTTTGCGCGACGATCAGCCAAGCCTTTTCTTTGTAAATAGCGTTTTGTAAAGGTAAAAAATTGTTCGTCCACGTTTTAGCCCGCAATTCTGAATGGATTTTGAAAATTCAAAAACCATTCGAAAGATATTGGTTGGGAATCGTGCTGATTAGTTTTTGGTAGAGATCGGCCGGGCAGTTTTCTTGTAATAATATGTTAAATTTTTTTTTTCGACGATTTTTATTATTATTTTTTTGGCGGCAGATACCATAGTCTTATAGATCATACTAAAATATTACGGCCCTACGACAACTCGTTTAATTTTAAAAATTCGTCAAAGTTTGCAAAAATTAGTATCATTTTTTGGGCATTTGTCAAAATTAGACCTTTCATCGACGTTTTGAGCTATTTGATGTGTCTCAATGAGGACTATTGTTCGTCAGTTTTGTGCGACGATCTGGCAAGCCGTTTCTCTGTAATTTGAAAAGAAGTGTTAGTGTGAAAAAGAAGAAACTTTTCGTCCACATTTAAGTTCATACTACCGAATCGATTTTAAAAAATTAAAAACTGTTCGAAAGATATTATTTGGGAATGATACTGATCAGTTTTAGATGAAAATCTTTTGAGCCGTTTTCTTGTAATTAACTGTTGAAAAAAAATTGAAACTGATTTTTATGTAATTTTTTTTTGCGATATATATCATGGTCTTATGGAACTTACTGAAATATTGCAGCCTTACAAGTATTTTAAATTTAAAAATTCATCAAAATTTCAGAAAATGAGTAGTTTTTTTGACGTTGATTGAAATTCAAATTACACGATTTGAATTTTAGTATGGTCTTAAAAAACATACTAAACAATTAAACTCGTACGGAAACTGGTTCAGTTATAAAAATTGTTGATTTTGGAAAATTTGCCTTTAGAAAATACTCCTTGTTCTGTCGTTTTCAATTATGTGTAATGAATCCACTCGGAATACTTTTAATCAGTCATAAATTAATTTATTTTTGATTGAATAAATCGATTAATTACACATATCGGGAAGTTCATGTAACTTGCCTCAAGGCAAAATATCAATACCAACTAGTTTAAATTGAATTCGAAATGAAATGACGATTGTTAATGTTCTGGAGATAAATTGATTTATAATTTACATTTGATTCGCTCAGATTTGTTATATCTGAGCAAAAATAATGAAAGTTGCAGTATTTGTAATAATATATTTGAAAACGTTTAAAATTTCTCAAATATTTCATTACGGTACGGGAAGTCCCAGCAATTTGCCTTAAGGCACGATGCCATACACCCCACTAGTTTTGATTTCTGACTATAAAGCAGAACTTTTATAAGGAATGATATTTCTTGATATCTAACCCATTATCAACTTGTCATCACCATCTACCAATCAAATGACCAACTCGCAAGACCCACGTGCCTTCTTCTGAACTGGTAATGGGAATGGCTAAAGTTGACTTATAACCATGACATGCAAAAAAAGACATTCTGTAACTCGTGTTGTTATGTAATGATATTCAATTTTTTTCTTAATTCTTCATTTCAGTTCATTGCATTCTATTTTGTAGACTCACGAATGAGTCACGCCATGAATGGAAGAACAAGAACATTGTTTAACCGTAGATGTCGATGTCGATGGACACTTATTTAGGAGAGAAGATAATTGAGAATGATTATTATTTTAATATGATATATGTTGTTTTGTTAAATGTTTTGTTTAAGTATTTTATTTGTTGAGAGATTGTGGTGATTTGCAGTTTATGATATACTGGCTGTATCCGTTCACGCTTCGCCGTAAATTAAAAATCTGAACAAAATGGCATATTTGTTACTCTAAATAAAACGACAAAAACTTAGTCAAATGTACCTGTCGACAAATGTACTTATCGTCAAATGAACTTATCGTCAAATTTACCTGTCCGCAAATGAACTTGTCGATAAATTTACCTGTCCACAAATTTTCCTGTACACAAATTTTCCTGTCCACAAATTATTCTATCCACAAATTATTCTGTCCACAAATTTTCCAGTCGATTAATTTTCTTATACACAAATTTACCTGTCCACAAATTTTCCTGCCCACGAATTTACCTGTCAACCCGTTTCACACGTCTACCAATTTACCTGTCTACAAATTTGTCTATCTACCAAATGTCCTGTCTACCATTTTACATATCCTTCAATTTACCTGTCCACCACTTTACCTATTTACCAATTTATCTGTCTACCTATTAATCTGTCTGGGTATGTATCTGTTTAACAATTTATCTCTTTACATGTCTACCTGTCTACCAGTCTGCTAATCTACCAATTACCAATTAATTAAAAACAGATATAATTACTGTAATAATTTTTACAAAGTTTGTGGTAGTAAGTTAA